TGACGGTTGAGAGGCGGGACCAAAGGGCCAGAGCTCAACCCCCGAAAGCATAACTAGGTGAGTACTACTAGGTGAGAACGTACACACTCACAGACTGCATATCTTGTGTGTGTGAGTGTGTACTTACCTAATTTACCTAATTGACCTTGCGGGGGGTTGAGCTTTGGCTCATTGATCCCACCTCCCAACTGTCAATCATCTTGTGTACAGGTTCCTGAGCCTACTGGGCTCTATCGTATCTACATTTGAAACTGTGTATGGAGTCAGCCTCCACCACATCACTTCCTAATGCATTACACATGTTAACTACTCTGACACTGAAAAAGTTCTTTCTAACGTCTCTGTGGCTCATCTGGGTACAAAGTTTCCACCTGTGTCCCCTTGTTCGTGTTCCACCCATGCTGAAGAGTTTGTCTTTGTCCACCCTGTCAATTCCCTTGAGAAGTTTGTAGGTGTTATCATGTTTCCCCTTACTCTTCTGTTTTCCAGGGATGTGAGGTTCAGCTCCTTTAGCCTTTCCTCGTAGCTCCTGTGTGTGTGTGTGTGTGTGTACTCACCTAGTTGTACTCACTCTCTGTGGCTCATTTGGGCACTCAGTTTCCACCTGTGTCCCCTAGTGCGGGTGCCCCTTGTTTTAAATAGCCTGTCTTTATTTACACTATCAATTCCTTTAATAATCTTATATCTGGTGATCATGTCACCCCTTAACTCTTCTGTCTTCCAGCGACGTGAGGTTTAATTCCTGTAGTCTCTCCTCGTAGCTTATACCTCTCAGATCGGGTACTAGTCTGGTGGCAAATCTTTGAGCCTTTTCCAGTTTAATCTAATGCTTAACTAGATATGGACTCCATGATGGAGCTGCATACTCCAGGACTGGTCTGACGTATGTGGTATACAAAATTTTGAGTAGTTCCTTATTCAAACTTCTAAATGATGTTCTTATCTTGGCCAACCTGGCATATGCCGCTGATGTTTTCCTCTTAATATGGGCTTCAGAGAACAGGTCTGGTGTGATATTAAACTCCAAGTCGTTCTCTCTCTGACTCTTGAAGAGTTTCATCTCAAATGATATTTTGTATCTGGCCTCCTGCTCCCTACACCTATTTTCATTACATTACATTTGCTTGGGTTAATCTCTAACAACTATTTGTTCGACCATTCCTTCAGTTTGTCTAGGTTCTTGAAGCCTCAAGCTGTCCTCCTCTCTTACTTCTTCTCATAATTTTGGCATCTTCAGCAAACATTGTGAGAAATGAGTCTATACCCTCCGGGAGATCATTTACTTATATCAGAAACAGGATAGGACCGAGTACAGAGCCCTGTGGGACTCCACTGGTGACTTCACCCCAATGTGAGGTCTCACGCCTCACTGTAACTCTCTGCTTCCTATTGCTTAGGTACACCCTAATCAACTGGAGCACCTTTCCAGTTACTCCTGCCTGTCTGTCCAGCTTGTGTACCAGTCTCTTTTGGGGTACTGTGTCAAATTCTTTCCGACAATCCAAGAAAATGCAGTCCATCCAGCCTTTGCTTTATTGCCTTATCTTTGTCACTTGGTCGTTGATTATTAGTTCCTTTGCTTCCATACATACACTGTTAAACCATGGATTGGTTTAATAGTTTTGAATAATTTCATTTACCCTTTTTTATGAGTCATTCCCCTTTAACTCCCAGATTTTTCCTTTTGGGGCGGGATAAATCTGTTAACTGCCTCCTGACACTTTTCGGTGACATGGTCCATCATGTCTTGTACAGACTTAGCTCTGAAGTCTGTGTCCCATTGTATATTCCTTAGGAAACTTTTCATCTTCTCTTAATTTTCTTTTGGGTATGCCAGCCTTTTATTTCCTAGTTCTCTTTGGGGGAGATAAATCGTAGCTCTACCAGGTACTCAGAGATAAAAAATACACTGTGATCACTCATTCCCACGGGTGCTTCCAACTTAACTTCCTTTATATTCCACTCATTTAGGGTAAATATCAGATCAAGCATGGCTGGTTCATCTTCCCCTCTCAGTCTTGTCGGTCACTTGATGTGTTGGCTTTGACAGTTTCTTGTTGCCACGTCCAGCAGCTTAGCTCTCCATGTGTCTGGTCCTCCAAGTGGGGTCTGTGTTCCCCCAACCTATCTTCCCGTGGTTAAACTCTCCCATGATTAGTAGTCCTGATCCATTCCTGCTAGCGACAGAATCTGCTCTCTCTATTATGTTAATGGTTGCCATATGTGTGTTTGTGTGTGTGTGTGTACTCACCTAATTGTGCTTGCGGGGGTTGAGCTCTGGCTCTTTGGTCCCGCCTCTCAACCGTCAATCAAGAGGTGTACAGGTTCCTGAGCCTATTGGGCTCTTTTATATCTACACTTGAAACTGTGTATGGAGTCAGCCTCCTCCACATCTCTTCCTAATGCATTCCATTTGTCAACCACTCTGACACTATAAAAGTTCTTTCTAATATCTCTGAGGCTCATTTGGGCACTCAGTTTCCACCTGTGTCCCCGATTGCGTGTGCCCCTTGTGTTAAATAGCCTGTCATTATCTACTTGTGTGTGTGTGTGTGTGTGTGTGTGCTCACCTATTTGTGTCTACAGGATCGAGCACTGACTCTTGGATCCCGCCTATCGTGCTATCGGTTTTTTACAGCAATGACTCGGTCCCATTTCCCTATCATACCTAGTTTTAAAATTATGAAAAGAATTTGCTTCCACAACCTGCTCCTTAAGTGCATTCCATTTTCCCCTACTCCCACACTAAAAGAAAACTTCCTAAATTCTCTGTGACTCATCTGAGTTTCCAGCTTCCTCCCATGTCCCATTGTTATGTTACTGTTCCGTGTGTACATTTCGTCTATGTCCACTCTGTCAATCCCCCTTGAGTATTTTATACGTTCCTATGATATCCCCACTCTCCCTTCTTTTTTCATGTGTTGTAAGGTTCAGTTCCTTCAGGCGCTCTTCATATCCCATCCCTCGTAACGCTGGAACGAGTCTCGTTGCAAATTTCTGAACCTTTTCCGATTTCCTTATGTGTTTCTTCAGATGGGGACTTCATGATGAGGCTGTATACTCTAAGACTGGCCTCACGTAGGTAGTGTAAAGCGCCCTAAATGCCTCCTTACTTAGGCTTCTGAATAATGTTCTAACTTTTGCCAGTGTAGAGTACGCTGTACGCTACTTATATAAGCCTCAAGATATAAATTAGGTGTTACGTCCACGCCCAGGTCTCTTTCTCGCGACGTGACAGGTAGGCAATTCCCATTCATTGTGAACTATCCCTTTGGTCTCCTATCACATTGTACCATTTCCATAGCTTTACATTTGCTCGTGTTGAACTCCAGTAGCCATTTCTCTGACCATCTCTGCAACCTGTTCAAGTCCTTTTAGAGGATCCTACAATCCTCTCTGGCCCCAAGTTGTAATTCACGTTCCAAATTCTCGATGTCTTTTACGTTCTGCGTGAAAATCAGGTCTAATAGGCTCAGTGCATCTCCTCTTCCTTCACATGTTGTGTTAGGATATTCCTGTCTATAACATCTACTAACTTGGCTCCCCACGTTTCTTCCCCTTCATGTCGGTTCCTTGATTCCCAATTTATCTCTCCACGATTTAGGTCCCTCACGACCAGAAGTTTCTCTCTCATTCTGTGAGCTAATGTTGCTGCCTTCTGCAATTCAGCTATGCATGCCTTGTTGTTGTCATCATACTCCTGCATGGGTCTTCTACTGTTTGGTGGGGGATTGTAGATTATCAAGATCACAATCTTCCTCCCATCTGTTGTCAGAGCCTCATCTGTGTGTGTGTGTGTGTGTGTGTGTGTGTGTGTGTGTGTGTGTGTGTGTGTGTGTGTGTGTGTGTGTGTGTGTGTGTGTGTGTGTGTGTGTGTGTGTGTGTGTGTGTGTGTGTGTGTGTGTAAATCTCGAAGAAATTAACTCGTGTTGAACAATGTGTCATTGTTAGACCACGAAGGAAGGATTTGGACAGGAATTTAAGTACTTTCGTATTTAATAAAACATCTTCAAAAAGATGGATTTACAGTTCAGTGGGTGTGGATATATAGGCAGGAAAGAGGTGAGGTGAGGTACAATTCATTTGGGCTAGACGGTAGAGCTACGGTCTCGCCTAATGCAGGTCGGCGTTCAGTCCCCGCTTCCGTCCAAATTTTCTTCCCCTCATAAACCATCGGAGCCTCTAACCCCAGGGCGCAAGACCAGGAGCCTTTGACTGAGTAGCCTAATTTAGATAACTACTCAATCTTGAAAGGCAGGCGGATAGTAAATCAAAGAACATCGACTTGAGTAAAGGAATACCTAATAGACCAAACTCAGAATCCTGGTGAGGATCAATAATGGGAGAACCTCAAGGATCAGCGATGGCAATAACAGTTGTTCTCATTTATAGTAATGACATAAATAATAAAATATAATGCAGGAGTCGAGTTCTCTATGTCAATGTTTGTAAACTATGCAAAAATTAAATGGGGGAGTTAAAACCAATTTGTATTGTAAGTTCTACAAATGACTTTGATAAGCTGCAGTGTTTGCGACCAAGAAATGGCTTCTAGATTTCAACGCCAGTAGGTGTAAGTTGTTAGAAACTGGAACATGAGACAGGAGGCAAGAACGGTACACAGTGACAAGAAAGTACCTGCATGTAACGAATAGAGAAAAAGGCCAAGTAGTGAACATATCACCGAAACTAACACTGGAAGCACATATAAAAAGTATGCCATCAGTTGCAGATTCAACACTACCAAAAATTAAACATCATTCAGAAACCAAAATCAGGAAGCATTTACATCGCTGAACACCGCCTGCGTGAAACCAGTTTCAGAGTATGGGCGTCCTACCGCGTAGTCCTCATTAATAAAATATAATGAGACCTTAAAAGGTACAAAAGGTTACAACGAGGCTTGTTCCAGAATTGCGAGGGATGTGGGTATGAAGAAAGACTGAAAAAACAAGACCTGACGTCACTACCAAAAAAACATATAGAGAGAGGGTAGAGACATGATAGAGACAAAATACTTAAGGGGGATTGACACAGTGGAAAAAAGTGGAGATATTCAAATTGAATTGCAGACAGAACAAGAGGGCATGGATGAAAAATTTGAAATAAGCGAGTAAGAGTGTTGAGAAAGTTTTCTTTTAGCGTACGAATCGTTGGAGAATAGAATGAACTAAAGGAACAAGTTGCAAAAGCTAACTACATTCATAATTTTAAAAGTATATATGATAATGAAATAGTTAATTACAGATAATACATTAGACAATTCTACAGACACAAGTTGGATATACACAAACACACACACACACTCTAACCAACACACTCTAACCAACACCCTTCTATACAAACACTCTTTTATAAATTTATTGTGACAGAAATCACAAGAGATATTTGCCTGTTTTGATCCCAGTGCGGAGAATGAAACAATTTGGACAATGTTCCATTATTCCATTTGCCTCTGCGTTCCCAGCAGTGATTGGGAACCTGGATGCAAATCGATTACGCGTCGCATCGAGTCGGTCGCTGGATAAATGGTTAGCCAGAGCTGTTTGCCAGTTATTCGCCTCTACCAGCGACCATTTCTTGGCACCGAGCCACGCTACTGGCCTACTACAGCAGCCAAATGTATCTTCAACATCTGCTTCATACTGCTGGCCTGCATAGGTAGCAATGCAGCTGCTTAACAGGTAGAGCAGGTTCATCCTCGGCTGGCCAGCTACCTGGCCTGCTTAGGATGCATCATGAACCTTTAGTGTGTCCAGCAGCATGTGTATGCTGTATGCCCAAGCTCTGTATGCCGAGGAATATGATAGACCATTATATTAATATAATTAAAACATTTATATTATTGACATATTCTCGCTTAGAAATAGCTGAAAAATTGTATTATGGGTCAATTTTAATGGTTCAAATAACATCATAGATGCGTTAGAAATCTATATATCATATAGATTTTTCTTGAATTATATTCATAAATATATATATATATCGAAATATATATTAATGTATATTAATATATAAATATTTATAGCCTTTGTGCAATAAAACTGTGAACAAAAGAAATACATGAGGGTGAACGTCTAGCCATACACACAAAAAATATAAAAAAATGGGTGGCACTCAACCTTTGTTAAACAAAGTTCCCATATTGATTGTCAAGGTCAGGAATTCCAGCTCCATTTCATATTTGGCAAACAAACCAAAAAAAGGGTTAAACGCTGTTATGTTAAGAAATATTAAATAAATTAAAAAGAAATACACACTTATGTTTGTCTTGTGTGCACAGTTTTATTCCATAATTGCTATAAATGTTTATATATTAATATATACTTTCAAATCCAGGGATCCCATCACAATGGTTGTTCTCTTCAAGTCACTTGTGTTGTCCCGTCTCGAGTACTGCTCAGTACTCACTTCCCCCTTCAGAGCAGGAGAGATTGCTGAAATAGAGGGAATACAGAGAACATATACGGCACGCATAGACGAGTTAAATCACCTAAATTATTGGGATCGTCTCAAAGCTCTCCAAATGTACTCTCTAGAAAGGTGACGAGAGAGATACCAAATAATATACACATGGAAAATACTGGAGGGCCATGTCCCAAATCTACACAGTAAAATAACAATGTACTGGAGTGAACGATATGGAAGAAAATGCAAGATTGAACCAGTGAAGAGCAGAGGTGCCATAGGCACAATCAGAGAGCACTGTATAAACATCAGAGGTCCGCGGTTGTTCAACGTCCTCCCAGCGACTATAAAAAATATTGCCGGAACAACCGTGGACATCTTCATGAGAAAACTGGACTGTTTTCGAAGAGAAGTTCCGGATCAGCCGGGCTGTAGTGGGTATGTGGCCCTGCCGGCCGCTCCAAGCAACAGCCTGGTGGACCAAACTCTCACAAGTCGAGCCGGGCCTCGGGCCGGGCTTGGGGAGCAGAAGAACTCCCATAACCCCATCAAGCAGGTATGATATAATTTGTAACATTGACCCATAATTCCAATTTTGCAGTTATTTCTAAGCAATAATATACTATGAATATATGTTTTTTGTATTATATTAATATATTATATGAATAAGGTTAGGGAGATTATCAGTAAAGTAAATGAGAATATTATATAAGGTGAAATGGGATATTAGAAATTGTTAGGAATTTATATAATGGAGTAAATAAAATCTCACAGAATAGAACACAGAGCAATGGTGGCTACATATTTACTATAGCTTGAGTCTGAGAAGACGCGGATATATGCTGCTTTGGAAATACGGATGTTGATATATGGAACAGATAATCGGACACCTTAATAGGCGTGTGATCATTGGATTGGAGATGAATAGTTGCTGTTCGCATGGGTCAAGTTCAAGAATATATATATATATATATATATATATATATATATATATATATATATATATATATATATATATATATATATATATATATATATATATATATATATATATATATATATATTCGTACCTAGTAGCCAGAACGCACTTCTCAGCCTACAATGCAAGGCCCGATTTGCTTAATAAGCCAAGTTTTCCTGAATTACTATATTTTTTCTAATTTTTTTCTTATGGAATGATAAAGCTACCCATTTCATCATATATGAGGTCAAGTTTTTTTTATTGGAGTGAAAATTAACGTAGATATATGACCGAACCTAACCAACCCTACCTAACCTAGGTTAGGTAGCCGAAAAAGTTAGGTTAGGTTAGGTTAGGTAGGTTAGGTAGTCGAAAAAACATTAATTCATGGAAACTTGGCTTATTAGGCAAATCGGGCCTTGCATAGTAGGCTGAGATGTGCGTTCTGTCTACTAAGTGTCGGAAAATCCGACACCATTTAATAATAATATCATACAGACAGATAATTGCTGTATTGTATAAACAAGTTACCCATAGAAAATGTAACTGTAGTGGAATTTCCGTCTATAGAAAACGGGATATCATTACCACATACTATTATAAATCACCACCTATTATGGTGGGAATTATTCTTAAATACATTAGTCTTTGGACTTTACCATCATAAAAACATCTCATATAAATTAACTTAATTATTAGTATTAAAGTAGAGTAAATGTGACCCTTCTATCACTTACTGTCATCTGGACAATGTAGGCCAGTAGCGTCAGGGTGAGGGAGTGGGCAGCCATTGTTTATACTAGACGAGAGGCTCACGGGAGCAATTCGGCTCCTGTTAATTTTACTTGGACGAAGTGTTATGGAAACCAAAGGTGTACTATCATCAACACGCTGTCAACAAATTCAAGTTAAGTGTTCTTCCGAAACCCATTTATCTATCATTAGTGGCCATTAATGTCATTGGGTAGGGTTGCCCGGTTAAAGCACGAGATCGCCTCATACTAAAGGTAATTAAGACAGGTCTTCATTGTTCCATGTACAGTGTTTTCTCTGATATAGCTGTCATATATAGGATTCTGGCTTTACAGCTAGCGCCCTTTTGACAGGTCAAGACGAGGAAGCATGCTTTGTGCATCAGTTACCAGGGTGATGGAAGCTACCTCACACGAGGAAAATGTGGTGTCTACATCCTGGTTATACCTGGTGGACTAAGGCCTGCTGTACAAATAAGATAAGGAACCTCTTCAATATGTGTAGTTAATACTGTAGTTTGATTGACTGCATATATATAAATTCAATTAATATAAACCCCCTTAATGTGTAGAGGATCGATTTGTGAGATTAAGGGATTATTGCAGAAATACAGTCCACTTAACATCATACAAATTGCTATCGAAGTATATAAATTAACGTAAATATAAATTCATATAAATTAAATAAATATAAATCTCACAGGTCGGTTCCCACACTAAGTACGACATATATATATATATATATATATATATATATATATATATATATATATATATATATATATATATATATATATATATATATATATATATATATATATATATTTTGGACATGAATGAAGGAGTACTGCAGAAGGCACATACTAACCCAGTCCTGTCGAAGTCCCCTTTCACCCATGTACAAATTCAACCTATTCGTGAATCCTGCTTCATTGCATAATACAAGTTTGTACCCTTTGTTGTGGGTTATGATCTATGTATCAGGTCTTGCACTCGCTTAATAATTGAATATGTATAAATGTTAGCGGGAAAATGTACATACACATTGAGGAATATCCCTATTTCTCATAGTTTATACACTGAGAGTTCATGAAGGGAGCGAGGGAGGGAGGGAGAGAGGGAGGGAGGGAGGCATACGAAAGGCAAGAGGGAGGCAAGGAGCAGGTGAGAGGAGATATTTCCTACAAGAAGGAAAGGGCGAAAGCGAAAAAGCCAAGAACAAGAAGCACAAGGGGCACCGGTGAGATGGGTGTACTAATATAGTGACGGAAGAAAGAGAACGTAATAATAAGAGGAGACAGAAAGAAAGAAAGGAAAGGAAAGATTTAAAAAGGGGGGGTCAGCTTAGGTCAGGTCTCGTTCGTTTTGAGAGGTTAGAGCATTTGAGTATGTACTATGAAAAGGAAGAGTCAACAGTAACAGAAGGAATCTTTTGTGGTCTTCTAGGAATTACCTCCTCTAACCTGGGAGGTTAAAAGGGAGCCGGTCGGCCGAGCGGACAGCACGCTGGATTTGTGATCCTGTGGTCCTGGGTTCGATCCCAGGCGCCGGCGAGAAACAATGGGCAGAGTTTCTTTCACCCTATGTCCCTGTTACCTAGCAGTAAAATAGGTACCTGGGTGTTAGCCAGCTGTCACGGGCTGCTTCCTGGGGGTGGAGGCCTGGTCGAGGACCAGGCCGCGGGGACACTAAAAAGCCCCGAAATCATATCAAGATAACCTCAAGAAGATAACCTGCTTTTCCTCGCTCCTGCTCTTCCTCTCACCTCTCACTGCTGCTCACCTCTCACTGCTCCTCCTCTCACCTGCTCCTCCTCTCACCTGCTCCACCTCTCACCTGCTCCACCTCTCAGCTGCTCCACGTCTCACCTGCTCCTCCTCTCTCCTGCTCCACCTCTCACCTGCTCCACCTCTCACCTGCTCCACCTCTCACCTGCTCCTCCTCTCTCCTGCTCCACCTCTCACCTACTCCACCTCTCACCTGCTCCTCCTCTCTCCTGCTCCACCTCTCACCTGCTCCACCTCTCACCTGCTCCTCCTCTCACCTGCTCCACCTCTCACCTGCTCCACCTCTCACCTGCTCCTCCTCTCACCTGCTCCTCCTCTCACTCTTGCCTTACTTATAACTCACTCTTACAATCTGATTGTGATTGGTGCCTCCCTCGCTCCCATCACAATTCAACATCACAGTAACAAGGTTATCGCCAATAACCGAACTCAATTACGGGCTCACTATAGCCCGTGCTACCTGCACATTTAGTTCCAAGTAGCTAAATCTAAAACAACAACTCGGTCTCATCTCAGTCGACTTGATAATGGTTCAAGATGGACCGAAACATCGTCGTCTCCTTATGGTCTGGTGTGTGGTTTAGTCATTATATTTCCTCCCACGATATTGTGACTCATCGTCCGCACTGGGAGTTGACTCTAGTCTACTTTTCAACCACTAATGTATACCTGCTGGTTGGTCAGTTTAACTATTGTGGTCACCTTCATACTTGAAACTTTCATACTTGAAACCCTTCAAGTCCGACATCAAACTGAACATGCATAAGACTTAACCTTCTTTTGATCTTATGATTGTTGAGTTGCTGTCCATCGGTAGAACACTTGTAGTCATGGAATTTTAGTATGCACTTTAAACAGGCGGATATGTTTTCAAAAGTCGATTTAGTAATATCTAAAACAATGTTCACTAGAGTTTATCTATACACTGAGTGAGATTTGAAACTATAGTTTATTGACAAATTGATATCAATGATTTCCTCTGGCTATTCTAGTTTTAAATTCAAAATTTAAATTTTTTCTAATCAACTGGTGTTTCAAAAAAATCTCAATACGCATCAGTTAAACTGTAATAAGTTATCGACTTATTTAATTTCAAACTGACGTGATCACCGTTTATCTGTGCATACACACTGAACATTTCCGTAGTATTGAACTCTGTTCTGGATAAAGGTATACTCTTATCTTATTGAAAAATGAAATACAAAAGAGTACAATATACATATATACTTACATGAAATAGTAAAACGAAAGAATGTTCCGAAAAGTAAACAAAAGTTCCAAAAAAACAAATCTCACACTCCTAAAGTTATAACCCGAAAACTGGATTCATACACAAACATCAATCATTAACCCCCAAGTGTCAACCATAAACCCCCAAGCATCAACCATAAACCCCCAAGTGTCAACCATAAACCCCCAAGTGTCAACCATAAACCCCCAAGCATCAACCATAAACCCCCAAGCATCAACCTTAAACCCCCAAGCATCAACCATAAACCCCCAAGCATCAAACTTAAACCCCCAAGCATCAACCATAAACCCCCAAGCATCAACCTTAAACCCCCAAGCATCAAACTTAAACCCCCAAGCATCAACCATAAACCCCCAAGCATCAAACTTAAACCCCCAAGCATCAACCATAAACCCCCAAGCATCAAACTTAAACCCCCAAGTATCAACCATAAACCCCCAAGCATCAACCATAAACCCCCAAGCATCAACCATAAACCCCCAAGCATCAACCATAAACCCCCAAGCATCAACCATAAACCCCCAAGCATCAACCATAAACCCCCAAGCATCAACCATAAACCCCCAAGCATCAACCATAAACCCCCAAGCATCAACCATAAACCCCCAAGCATCAACCATAAACCCCCAAGCATCAACCATAAACCCCCAAGCATCAACCATAAACCCCCAAGCATCAACCATAAACCCCCAAGCATCAACCATAAACCCCCAAGCATCAACCATAAACCCCCAAGTATCAACCTTAAACCCCCAAGCATCAACCATAAACCCCCAAGCATCAACCATAAACCCCCAAGCATCAACCATAAACCCCCAAGTATCAACCTTAAACCCCCAAGCATCAACCATAAACCCCCAAGCATCAACCATAAACCCCCAAGCATCAACCATAAACCCCCAAGCATCAACCATAAACCCCCAAGCATCAACCTTAAACCCCCAAGCATCAACCTTAAACCCCCAAGCATCAACCATAAACCCCCAAGCATCAACCATAAACCCCCAAGTATCAACCTTAAACCCCCAAGCATCAACCATAAACCCCCAAGCATCAACCATAAACCCCCAAGCATCAACCTTAAACCCCCAAGCATCAACCATAAACCCCCAAGCATCAACCATAAACCCCCAAGCATCAACCTTAAACCCCCAAGCATCAACCATAAACCCCCAAGCATCAACCATAAACCCCCAAGCATCAACCTTAAACCCCCAAGCATCAACCATAAACCCCCAAGCATCAACCATAAACCCCCAAGCATCAACCATAAACCCCCAAGCATCAACCATAAACCCCCAAGCATCAACCATAAACCCCCAAGCATCAACCTTAAACCCCAAGCATCAACCTTAAACCCCCAAGTATCAACCTTAAACCCCCAAGCATCAACCATAAACCCCCAAGCATCAACCTTAAACCCCCAAGCATCAACCTTAAACCCCCAAGCATCAACCTTAAACCCCCAAGCATCAACCATAAACCCCCAAGCATCAACCTTAAACCCCAAGCATCAACCATAAACCCCCAAGCATCAACCTTAAACCCCCAAGCATCAACCTTAAACCCCCAAGCATCAACCATAAACCCCCAAGCATCAACCTTAAACCCCCAAGCATCAACCTTAAACCCCCAAGCATCAACCTTAAACCCCCAAGCATCAACCATAAACCCCCAAGCATCAACCTTAAACCCCCAAGCATCAACCTTAAACCCCCAAGCATCAACCTTAAACCCCCAAGCATCAACCATAAACCCCCAAGCATCAACCATAAACCCCCAAGCATCAACCATAAACCCCCAAGCATCAACCATAAACCCCCAAGTATCAACCTTAAACCCCCAAGTATCAACCAAAAACCCCCTAGCATCAACCATAAACCCTCTAGCATCAACTGTAAACCTCCAAGCATCAACCGTAACCCCCAATCATCAACTGTAAACCCCCAAGCATCAACCTTAAACCCCAAGTATCAACCTTAAACTCCCAAGCATCAACCGTAAATCCCAACCATCAACCATAAACCCCAAGTATCAACTGTAAACCCCAAGTATCAACTGTAAACCCCCAAGCATCAACCGTAAATCCCAACCATCAACTATAAACCCCAAGTATCAACTGTAAACCCCCAAGCATCAACAGTAAACTCCCAAGCATCAACCGTAAACTCCTAAGCATCTACTGTAAACCACCAAGCATCACCCGTAAACCCCCAAACATCAACTGTAAACCCCCAAGCATCAACTGTAAACCCCCAGGTATCAACTGTAAACCCCCAAGCATCAACCATAAACCCCCAAGCATCAACTGTAAACCCCAGAGGATCTACCATAAACCCCAACGCATCAACCTTAAACATCCCAAGCATCAACCTTAAACCCCCAAGCATCAATCATAACCCCCCCAAGCATCAACGCTAATCCACAAGTATTATATCCGATTCAATCCCTACAAAAGCCAAGGGTTTCCTCCATAGCATAACCTTCCTGCCTTCTAATCCGTACTCAGAAAATGTAGTCACTATGAGGGCAAGGTATTTCGAACACTCGTGCAAGAAGAGAGAGGGAGTGGGGGGAGGTCAAGGATAAAACTCATCGTGCAACCTTTGTAAATCCACATATGCTCGTCGGGTTGACACAACAAATAATGCTCTTGATGTACTGTAATAATGCACTTGAACCAAGCCACTGGCACAGCTTCACGCTCACAAACATAAACAAAATAGGTAACAGAGATCTGTTATATGTGTTACATGTGCTATCCCTAATTCCTAACCTTTGTAGTCTATCATTGTAGAGAGAGGTTACCTATATGAATCGATACATCCATTTCTGGCTCTCTCCGAGCATGTGCCCCTTTATTCCCTCCAGTGCCGTAATGGGGTGGCAACCTCCTGGGGAGGATGTACAATTGGAAGCTCAACCTCATGAACACGTTTACATGACAACTGCAATTAACACCAATTGACTTATTTAAATCTGCTTCAGAATATCAATAACAAAAGTATTATATGGAGATGAAACAAATACAAGTTCAGCATATTCAGGCATATATAATAAATAACTTTTTACAGTAATAATGCCCAAAAGAACGTTTACCATTCCAAGAAACAGTCTCCGCTTAAACGTGACACACATATCAGCTACTAAACCAACATGCAAGTGTTTTCCTTGTTAATCCCGGCACCTGTCGCCACGCACTCTTGCGACACCTGTACAGCTAACACCCAAGCCTCAGTTGACCAAAAATCGTCGCGCGCCAAATACATATAATTACAGGGAGCTCCATTTAATCGAAAGAGACGGAGGCACAAGTGAGGCATTTTTCCCCAACACCAAGTACACTGGCTCAGGGAAAGGAACATACAAAACAACGGAAAATGGACACCCGGTGTGGAACAGATCGCTCAATTCGCAAAAATGTTCAAAGCTTTATTATCCCCACCCAACATCAACCCGCTCACAGGCCTTAGACTAGTCGAAGCCAATCATCGACGAAAGAATATTGCTTTCAGAGAGATAATAAATATCGTCCAGTATTAATATTTATACAAATAATAACATACCATGCTCACCCCAGGACTGTTCTGGAGACACAAATCAGTCCAAAACCCCCAAAAGCTTCTTCGATTAGTTTCGAAAGAATCTTGTAAACCTGATTAAGCAAAGAAAGAAGTTTACAATTCATCAGACAGTGTATATTCTCTGACGTCAATAATACCAACTATTTTGGTCATCTTGATCTTTTCAATCAGTACACTGTTCCTCATCACCTGATTGAAGTCTTCATCAATCACTCCCACTACGCATAAATAGAACTTAGCCAATGACCCTATCATTCCCAGCTGACTTACCAGTCGCTAATATCCGAGCCACACCCCACGCTTCCCTATCAGAGAATTCCTAAAATATGATCCTCAAATTATCCTCACGTGACAACACCTGCGGTCTATTAGTAAGAAAGTTCTACCAGCTTCCATCATCACCATCCACTTTGCGGCAAAAAGTCTCCAATCCACTCCTAACATTGGACAAAACACCATCTGAATTCGTAAGTACCACTCCATCATCTGTTTCATTAACTCAGAAACCTTTGCATTATCTTCCTTAGTAAATCTTGAAGTTATTTTGAGATTATTTCGTGGCTTAACGTCCCAGCGGCCATGTCCACGACCAGGCCTCCTATTTGTTAGTCATCCCCAGGAAGCGGCTGTTTAACTCCCAGGTACCTATTTACTGCTAAAATAGGTGATAGGTGGATAACTTTTCACCAAATAACCGTTCACTACTTTAGATTGGAACATCATACCCTCCGCAATGCACCGTCTCTCAAACGATTAATCCACGCCTTCCAAAAGGTAATATCGTTAAATTTAACGATCGTTAATGGAGAAAGTCAGCCTCAAGAACAATGGTAACACGCTCCAGTAAACCACAGGTGAACCACAGTGTACTTCTTCACGTGGCAGGCAGCAGCAAGATGAGTTATATGGCCACATTTATAGCATTTATATGGCCAAATTTGATTTGTATGGCCACATTTATAGTTTTTTTTAGGCTGTATAGTGTAAATGAGATTCATGTTATGACCTAAAACTGGCGAGGAATACTTCGGAAAGTTCCATTTTCACTGTTCTAGTGCCGTTTAAGAGCTCTTTGGTTGGACTAAATGAGTGAATAATCAATCATTAAGTCCAACCAAATTTAGTAGAAGGTGGTTATTCACTGTCCACTTTCCCATTGATTGAACGTATGTTAATAATAGTCCTATTCAACATTTCAAAGACCACCATCCCTCACAGCAACATACGAAAACGACTTAATGTGTAAATCACTGGCACAAAACGTTTCCATTGTGAAGTTGATCACCATCATGCTCTCACACATTCCGGAAACGAAACACTGTCCTCAAATTTCACCACCCCATTTCTGTCGCGAAACATTTGAAAACCAACCTAGTCGTCCAACTTGACCCATAACACGTAAAGAATCGTCGTTCCGACAAATGTCATAATCAAATTACAGTCCAATGGACTCAATCCGCCGTGAAGCAGGTGTGAAGGAGCCCATAATGTTGCCTAGTCCACAGTGTCGACATGCAGGTGTGAAGGAGCCCATAATGTTGCCTAGTCCACAGTGTCGACATGCAGGTGAGAAAGGAGCCCATAATGTCGCGTAGTCCACAGTGTCGACATGCAGGTGTGAAGGAGCCCATAATGTTGCCTAGTCCACAGTGTCGACATGCAGGTGTGAAGGTGCCCATAATGTTGCGTAGTCCACAGTGTCGACATGCAGGTGTGAAGGAGCCCATAATGTCGCGTAGTCCACAGTGTCGACATGCAGGTGTGAAGGAGCCCATAATGTTGCGTAGTCCACAGTGTCGACATGCAGGTGTGAAGGAGCCCATAATGTTGCGTAGTCCACAGTGTCGACATGCAGGTGTGAAGGTGCCCATAATGTTGCATAGTCCACAGTGTCGACATGCAGGTGTGAAGGTGCCCATAATGTTGCGTAGTCCACAGTGTCGACATGCAGGTGTGAAGGAGCCCATAATGTCGCGTAGTCCGCCGTGTCGACATGCAGGTGTGAAGGAGCCCATAATGTTGCGTAGTCCACAGTGTCGACATGCAGGTGTGAAGGAGCCCATAATGTCGCGTAGTCCACAGTGTCGACATGCAGGTGTGAAGGAGCCCATAATGTCGCGTAGTCCACAGTGTCGACATGCAGGTGTGAAGGAGCCCATAATGTCGCGTAGTGCACAGTGTCGACATGCAGGTGTGAAGGAGCCCATAATGTCGCGTAGTGCACAGTGTCGACATGCAGGTGTGAAGGTGCCCATAATGTCGCGTAGTGCACAGTGTCGACATGCAGGTGTGAAGGTGCCCATAATGTCGCGTAGTCCACAGTGTCGACATGCAGGTGTGAAGGAGCCCATAATGTCGCGTAGTCCACAGTGTCGACATGCAGGTGTGAAGGAGCCCATAATGTCGCACAGTCCACAGTGTCGACATGCAGGTGTGAAGAAGCTCATAATGTCGCACAGTCCGCCGTGTCGACATGCAGGTGTGAAGGAGCTCATAATGTCGCACAGTCCACAGTGTCGACATGCAGGTGTGAAGGAGCCCATAATGTCGCACAGTCCACAGTGTCGACATGCAGGTGTGAAGGAGCCCATAATGTCGCACAGTCCACAGTGTCGACATGCAGGTGTGAAGGAGCTCATAATGTCGCGTAGTCCACAGTGTCGACATGCAGGTGTGAAGGAGCCCATAATGTCGCACAGTCCGCCGTGTCGACATGGAATAAACAAAAACTAGTAACTAGCACAAGGGAAAGCACTTTACCTGGCCTTGCCTTGTTCTGGCACCTTTGTGATATTTGGAAAGGGCTTGATTACCGAGGAAGCTTGTGTCTGAGCCTCATGAACAAACGTCAAATGCTTGCTATTACAGCCGCCAAAGCCACTCCGTTTATAAATAACAACACTTGACACTTGACACACATTTGGTGACGTTCCAGTATT